AACACCATGACCCATCCATTTCCACAACGCAATGGCAGTGGCCACACACAGCAAGCATTACATCGAGTGCGCTGAAACACAGAATACAGATAAGCCATCCCATCCTGCCCCCCGGCCTGAAGGTCCTAACTATCCCATGCCAACTCTGCAGCCTCAAGAATTCCCGACATTCACGCCATTGTCGTCTCCGATGATCTCCTCTGGCGCCCAATCCCGTCAACCGCCGACGTTGATCAGCACAAGCCCCACGCGCGGCTCGCTCGCCATGCCTGCACTGTACCCGCATACATCGCCCAACACCCTCACCGTCATGTCGGATGTCTCGTGTAACTGGTCGCGGCTCCGCAGCAGGTTGATCACGGCTGACCCGGAGCGATGCCCACTCACGACACCAAACCCCCGATATGCAGCTGCGACCCTTGCCAATGTTAAAACTGGGCACACTGCCACCACACACTGCGTGCGCATGGTTGAGGTGGAACACTGGATGTGTCTTTGCCCCATTCGCGCGGCGAATAGCGAAGCTTTCTCGGCTTTCGAGCTGGAGGATGATGGCGGCCAGCCCACTCAATCGACCGAGATCGAGAGAGCCAATCGGGAAGCAGCAGGGCTGATGTTTTCAGCACGATGGCGATTATAGAGCGGTGTAGCTGGCATATATAGATATCCGTCTGGGGCGCGCCAGGCGGACCGCCCGACGACGCCCACCAACGGTCACAATCCTTCTCCAAGCCTCTACAACGTGACGGAATGGTGCTGGGGGCAAGCTGAAAGTCAGTGTCGGCGTCGGCGGGCGCCCCTTCAGCATTGTCTCCTTTGCGCCCGTTGCCGTTCTGCTGCTGCTTCTGCTTCTTCTCCACCCTCGCGCAGGAGCATGCGCCGCCCCGAGCGGCGACTAAAGTCTCGTAGCGGTGCTGGTTCTGCTCCTGGTAGTCGTTGTCGTCCGTGTCCCGCGGCAGTTGCCGTGCCCACCGTCCTGGCCCTCTATGCCGTTCGTGCATACTGACGCACGCGGCCTGGTCCAAGCGAATAGTGCACCTTTCCTCTTCGTCGATCAGGCCCACAACGGGGGTTCAACAGCGAGGAGATGAATCCGGCGCATTCGCCAGGCGTGGCTTCTGCTACTTCGCGGAAGTGGCGGCGGACGACGCGCGGCTCTGGGGACTGGGTGGGGGGAGTGAAGCCGGGAAATGGCGTGACACTCCTCTGGCGCTGCTCAAAGTCGTTATAAGGGTCCGCGAAACTCCAGACGGGCGTCCATTGTTCGAAATTATATGGTACCCAATCCCCCCGCCCCATGCAATGGCAGCGCCGGGTGAAGGATGGCTTGACGGGCAGGTGTGGTAGCGGGCCGACGTGTGGTTCCATCGTCTGGTCAGGGTGGATGTCGGCTGAAGTGAGTTGGGGTCAATATACCGGCACGGGAAGGCAAAGCGAAGCTTGCCAACCGGATCAGCAGCATGCTGTAGCTATATCAGTGACTTGAATCCCTCGGAAAAACGACGAGGGAGGGGCAGCAGCCGGCGCCTGGGTGGAGCCATTGGAATGCCTCGTTTTGACCAGGGCCGATGAGCTGTGTCGTCTTCGCGCTCTTCGGGGAGGAATGTCTTTGTTTTCGCCATCACGAACGGCGGAAAGAAAGGAAGAGGCGGACAACTGAGCAATTCTGTTCTCCGGCAACGGCTGCGGCCCAAAAGGCGGCGTGCCAGCGTTGTCGGGCAGCGATCTCGTCGAAGCCGGTGGCGGCGTAACCGCGCGACGCCGATATAGCGGGTTGGAATGAGGTATATAGTGGTCGTTGTTGTCGACAGTCCACGAACAGGCAGGAGGCCGAGCTGGTGACGTAGAAGTAGCGCGTCTTCCGCGCTCTCTGTCGTGCGTCATTTCGACGCGGGCAGAAACACGTGGGCCGTCTTTTCTGTGGCGCGAGAGCATGCTGATGCGGTCGAGGATGCGCCGCTCAGCGTTGGGGGCCGAGCCCAGACGCATGTCGACGTAATTAACTCCAGGATGAACTGGCACCCAGCATGGGATCACAGGTCCAAGTTTCGCGCAGGTTTCTGAGCGCAGCCACCGTCTGCTCGCCGCAGGAACCAGCAGCCGTCGCCATGAATAACACAGCCGCATGGCAGCTGGAACGGCAGGCCCTTGCCCAGGGTCTTGCATGTCCTGCATGCGCTCGCTCGGGCTGGAGCACCCGCACCCATGCCGAGCCTGAGGCGCTGGACTCGCCTCCGCTCTCGCCGCTGTCGATCAGTTGTGCTTGAACTCAGCGGTGAAGGTCTTGCCGCCGCGGTGTTTCTTGTTGATACAGTCCTTACGCCTGAACTGAAGCTAACCGTCTGTTCTTCAGCGCGTGCTCCCAGCGTGTCCGCCTACAAGCTTCCAGCACGCAGAACGTCACGAGTGTGGCGGATCTGTTCCTGGGACTGCTTTCGGAAGACCGCGTGGAAGCCTGTCCTCGGATCAACGAGACCACCAGCGAGGTTGGCAAGCAACGTCCCTGAAGGCGCTGAGCCTCCCAAAACCGAGGCACAGATGATCAAGGAAGCCGACCGGGAGGCCAAGTAGGAGAAGGAGGAGGAGGCCGCGAAGGAGAAGGAGAAGGATAACCAGTGGCTGGAAGCGCCACCATCCACCACAACACTTGCCGTTGCTAAGCCGAAGCGCAATCTCGTCATATGCATCGTCTATTCTCCCAACCCCAGTTGTCGTAGACAATGAGACGACAGAGCTTGGGTTCTCCAGATGCAGTCACCGGCGGACGTCGGGATGGATGACACCTGGTCTGTTGCTGATGTGTGCCTTGCTGGCTCTAGGCTACTCGCTATAGCCGGAGGAGAGCGCCTGTGGACCTGGCCAATGGCCTCAGGCCAGTCTTGGGCGACGAGATGCGCATTTCCCGGCCACCAGCCGTTGTTTTCCGTCTTCGGCGTTGGCGTGGCTTCAGATATGCCTGCGCTGGGGGGGCATTGGCACTAGGCGGCGAGCTCCGTGGGATATCAGGCCTTGTTGCAGGAAAAAGGCTTGACAAGCGCTTTATCGAGCAGAATGTGGCGGAGAAGATGGGGATCGAGGTATTGTAGTGCGTGATGGCGACGGTGGTGGATATGGATTGTGTAGAGCGGTGCCACGGAGTGCTCAGAATGGGCTTGTGAGAAGGTGTCTCACGGGTATATACCAGGGGTCCATGTCGGACGTGGCGAGCTTGTAAAGAAGGCCTGGTCGAGTTTTGTTGCTATATATCGTTGTTGGAAAAGGAGCACTTCGAGACAGAGGGGATGGAAAGACACCGTAGCAGGCTTTGCGCAGTGATTCTCGCGGCATGCATGTTCTTTTTCGGTCTTCTTGCAGGCGGACATCTTTATCGGGCACAGGATGAGACCTGGAAAAGGAAACGGCGTCGGAAAAGGCGCCGCTTGAAGAAGAATTTGCGGGCACAATTGAAGCAGTGCTTGACGAGGCGTTCAAAGACGTTTCCTCTGACGCGTTGGAAACGGCGTCTCAAGAGGCGCCGCTTGAAGGAGTGCTGGAAGACACGTCAGAGGACGCGTCGGAAACGCCATCGGAACCGGCGTCGGCAGAGGTGTCTATCGAAGGCATGTTTGGAGTGATGGTGGATGATGGTAGATTCTGAAGTCGTAATTCTAGAATCGGGGCCTGAAGTGGTTCTGGGAATTGGTTGGCTTGCTCGAGATAATGGTCAAGAGCGAGCTCCGTAAGGCTCTCTAGCTTTGCGCGGAGTATTTCAGACACGGGAGAACGCGCGGCGAAGGCGCTAATTTTGGCCGCCTGGGAAGCCATGAGGAGAGAGTGGGAGAAAGTGTGTTATATGGAGGAGGACGCGACCAACGCATTTTTATACCCGGTCACACAGAAGCGTGGGATAGTGCCGTGCAGAAAGAAGCCGAGAGTCCTCCATATGGTCGTTGATCAGACTCGCGTCGTCCAGACGCAAACCCTCACGACGTGCGCTTCCATTTGCTGACGCAGGTGCGTTGCGCTGAGGCCAGGCAAAATCAGCCTCCAAACGGGAGGCCACAACGGTCTTGCGGAGTGCTAGACGTGTTTGGTGATGGTGTAGGCGATATATATACTGAGCCTCCCGGGCCCGCCAGCTGCAGGATGACGCCCAAGAATTCCAGGGATGATTGGCGGGTAGCTTTCTCCGTGGCGCTGTGTTGGCCATCGCCGCTCGACATTCTGATGGAGTGCGCCGCCGTGTTAGAGCTGTGGCTCAAGCGCGGCGAGAAGGGGAGTCGGAAGAGCGGTCGAAGGATTCGTTGCGGGGCGCGAGCATCTCAGGCGACGCTGGCCGGTCATCTGTGCGTTTGCAGGCGTTGAAGAGGAGGCTGCGGCGGCTGGGGCAGATCGGGAGAACTGCCGGCAGGGGCGATGCGGCAGCAGTGGGACGGGTGTTATAGTATACGCTTCTGCCGGTTTCTTGTCAGTAATAGGTCAAAGGGCGCGAGATTCTCTGTCTCACCAATCTTCCAACTTGGCTGGAGGATGCCACACGACGGTCGGTCCTGTTCCCAGCTAGCCCTTGACATAAGAGCCATCTGTGAAGAACGAGAGCTCGCCCGTCTTTGTTTTTATCTTGCAGGCTAGCTGCACGTCTTTGATTGACTCTTCCCGGTCTTTGATGATAATTTCTCCAGGGTATTGAGGATGCTGGAGCGGGCTAGACGGTGCCTGGTCCGTTTGGTTGTGCGCGAGAGCGAAGTGGGAGTGTCCTTTGAGTGTACGGTCACTGATTCGAATGTATATAGGACATCGTTGAGCCCGGGACTGGATGGGCTATGAGAGCACAAGCAGCTGTCAGCAGATGAAATAATGCCTGATACTACCAATAGAGCTTTATCTATCACTGGCACTGAACTACCTTTTGTGTATACCGCGGATAGCCTAGCCTGTCTACCCACGACCCTCCTCAAACATCTCGCTCTCGACTGCAGCTACGGCAAAAAACAACCAAACACGACGGCCCTGAGCGGCAGCTAGTTGGAACTAGGTGTCGGTAGCATCATGGGTGCCCAGACCTTCTTCAGTCTCAGATCGTCTCTTTCTCCCAGCCACATCTCGAAGTCTCCAGGGAAGACTCCGCCCCAGCCTTCGACACCCCCGCCCAAACTACTGTGAGCATCTTCGGGAGAGTCTTCGTACCCAAGAGGAAGTTGGCGGATGTAAATACGCTTGGTGAAAGGAGTTGGTGGGTAGCCCCAGACGATCAGAGGCATCGGAATATGGCGAAGGTCCTCGTTGGTGAATGATTGTGTGGGAAACTGCAGGTAGAGCGTCTCGAGTTGGCCATGGTAGAGCAGCCTCGTGGAGATATACTGAATTATGCCGTCAGCGCTGGTGTGCCGATCTTCGGTGTTGTAGAGGGCAAGGTGGCGGAGAGAGGACTTGTTGCGGTAGGCCATGGCGAAGTACTGAGTGCATTGGTTCATGGCCAGCTCGAGCCGCGTGAGGGAGGTGATAGACGGCCACAAAAACCACGGGAGGCGTTGAGGGTTCTTGAAGAGCGAATAGGTGCGCCCGTCGGCGGGGATCATGTTGACGCGCAGGTCGGCGAGGTTGGGGAAGATGTCGTAGAGCAATTGTATATTCCTGGCGTGGTCGTACAAGTCTTCCTCCTCGCTAGATGTGGCCCTGCCAGTGTCGATGAATGAGATTTCCAGCTGCATGATGCTGGGGAAAGTGAATCGGGCCTCGTTCCCGAGCTCTGAGAAGCCTTGTGCGAACAAAGGCCACCTGGAGATCTCCATCTTTGCAGGCGCTCTGCCGGTGTCGCTGAGGGCTTTCATTACAGCGTAGTTGGCCTGCGGTCCCATATGCTCGACCAGCTCAGCGTAGCCATGCTTGCAGTGTTCTCCGATAAGGCGCTTCTGGTCACCCTCAATGGCCACGTCTTTGAGGTTGACAAGGCGTGAAGCGATGGTTGTAAGAGCCTCTGTCGCGGAAGGGTAGTAACTCCACTGCTTCGTTGCTTGCTCTTGGAGGTTGGAGATGTCGTAGTCCTGGGGCAAATCGACCAGCAATGCGGTGGATATGCACAGGGCGCTCATGCGGTTACTTACAGCTTCACGGCGCGTGAAGCGGTCCAACATGTCGAGATCGGCGGCGGTCATCTGCACGCGCTTTTGCTGTAGTACCTTTGGCAGAAGGTTGTCGGCGAGCTTTTCAAAGGTGCGGCTGACGGTGCGGAAGGTCAAGATGTCTTTGGCGCTCTCTGGCGTGATCTGGGCCTGCTTGCAAAGCTTGGTGGGTGTCTCGAAGACAAGAGAGTACTCGAGGGTCAAAAGGACCAGCTCGTTCGGGAGAGTAACAGGCAAGATGTACTGCACTGCTGCCATCACGCGTAGTGCAGCACATATTCTCCTGCAGCTTGCAGGTCTTGCCGTTCAAGGTGGTGGCAAACGTCATGAGAGCAGTTGTGGTGCCCGAGGACCGGTGCGTCATGGAGCAAGTAGCACGGTAATCAGAGGACTGAGCCTGGCTGCCACTCTCGGAACTGACAGCTCTGTCTATGCGGGAGAGAATCTCATTGAATCCAGGCGGAGGATACGCAAGGCTTCTTGGTGGAATGGACTGGGAGAAGCCAAAATCCCCACTCCCAGGTCTTGACATGAGAGGCATCGTGAGCGTCACTGCTATTCTATATCACATTAGCCTTGTCATTTACTCCGTCATGGTCAGGTTCATACGTGCAGGCTGAGGATTCCAACGAGCGCCCTCAGCTTTCAGCTGCCTGAGGCCATGTGGCGAAGGTCAGCCGTAGCATCGCGGAGATCACCCCCGTGGAAGTGCTTGTCGGTGATGAGGTTGTCAACAAGGAATTGGAGCCTCAAATGAGCTGAGGTAGTAGCATAAAGTCTGATTACCTCTCTATGTCTGGAATAATAATGTCTCATATGCTCGTAACGAAAGAGCCCGGTCATTTGCAAGAAAATAAATAGGGGATCTGCTGGATGATATTGTACGTATTTAGCGCAAACATAGAGAGGCATTGCGCTACAGCTTTGTTTCCATATGTGGCTTGCTAGTATGAGCAATCGAATAATTTATTCCAGTATGCTATTTTTAGGATCAAGATCCATTTTATTATTGCGCTTGTCTTATTTTTTTTATTCACTTGGCCGGAAATTATCAATTTTGCCAACAAACATAAATATTATACGCAGTTTTCAACAGTCGCTTGACCAGAAGCTGTCAGAATCATCTAGTTCGGTCAGATTTCAAATTATTCAAGCAGTATTCACCCGCTTGCTTTCCGATCCGGCAAAATCCATGGTGTTGAGGTCTATCGTCATCTCACGACGTCATACGACAATGGCATGCCTCAATCTGCTTGAGCCTTTGGAGCTCAACACTTCTCTCTGTAAGAAGTACTGTGAGTTTGTTTCGCGCCGATATCGTTGTATAGGCTGTTCTGTCCGCTGCTGAAGCAGCTGATAGCACTGTTAAAAACTTGCTTGCTATCGCATAGTGCGCGCAGTTTGCCCCCAGGCATCAGTGTTTGTTGCGCCCCACTCCAAAAATAAGCTGTCACGAGCAGGCAGGGCTCTTTCTAGGCTAAGCTCAGACGCAAACATGCCCAATAACTTTGCTTGCCGAACTTTCACAAGTAGTTTTGCCGCATACCTTGCGACTGCACGAAGGAAATCAATAAGGTGGAACGAAAAAAAGCGGGACACCAAAATGGAATCAAACGTGCAAGGCTATCAAGGCAGCAGGAGTTTTCATTCAAAATCGCAGCACAAATCTGGTCACAAACAGCAAAGTTGAGATTGATTGTATTACGCCCACAGGCTCTGATCAACAGCTATCGTTGATTGTGTCTCTTTCATCTCAAATCTCCCAAGCAGGATCAGGTCATGACCACGTCCAACACGATGGTTCTGGGCTGAGTTGTAGCGACCAGGCCGAAGCGAGGTCGCGCTCGTTGCGCCAGTGGACTCCATGTTCATCATATCCCGCATCGCTTTTCTCATCTCTTTCCTCCATGAAACTAAGGCCGAAGCCACCACCAATTTCTTCAAATCATACTGGACCTAGCGGGATCAGGTATTTTCAAGTGTAGCTTAACGCTTTTTGTTCATTGAGTCCGGACGCCCCGCGGAAGCAAGGTGACACGATACTCTAGACATGTTCTTTCCATTTCATCATTTCCCGCGGTTAATAACAAAAGGCTGTAGGGGGGAAGACTCACCGGTCGGAAGCGTAAGTCTAAGTTCTCGTACCTGTTCGAGCGTTTTTAGCTGCACAAAATGGAGAAGGGAAGATGGACTCACCACGGCGGCTGTCGGAGTAAACCAACACCCTGTGTTTGTCAGTTGATGCATTCAAATCCATTGCTTCTTTTTTTCTCAGGCTTTTCGTTCATGCTCCTCTCTGCACGATTGTTTTTTCTGGTATTTGCGGTCTTCTTCTGCCTTCTGTCTCTCTCTGTTCTTTTTCTTCTACCGCATGAGGACTCCAGCCGAAGCCATCACCGCCCGAGGGATCAGTTCTGTGACCACGCATCGTCCCCGGATTCGACGGTGAAGCAGCAATGCCAGCGACCCCGGGACCAGCGGTCCTAAACGTCTCCTCAGATCGGGTGCGACAGAACAACTCATCATCTCCCTCTTCTCTTCTGTCTCTTCTTCTCTGAGTTTCTCTCCATCTCTATCTCGTGTTTGATCTTCTCTGTTTTTTCTTCTTTGCTTTTCTCTCTCTCTGTTTTTTTTTTCTCTGCTTTTCTCTCCTTGTACTTTTTTTTTCTGTCTCTCTCTTATTTTTTCTCTCCATCAATCATCGGCCATAGCCAGAAGTAAACCTGTCTCATGGGGCCCCCATTTTGTGTGTGTAAAGTTGCGTGGATCAGACAGAAACCCCCAGTACCCACTAGCTCGTGTAGCAACGTAGATTTTTTCATCGAGCGCCGGAAGCCGAAGCCCCCAAAGTGACCGAAGCCCCCTGCGCTCTGAAACGTTCTTTCCAGATTTCTCCAGTCATCATCTCAACTTGAAATTTTGATTCAAGCACGCGAGGGCCCCCTCGGTTAACGAAACCCCATTTCGGGGCGATAGAAAGCGTTTATTGGAGGACTTACCAAGGTTTGTCGGGGTGGCTGCTGTTGGTGTTGGGGTCTGGAGGGGCAGGCTGTGTCAGAGCGCGAAGGAGGTAGCGGAGGGGCTACTGGGAACTAACCGCTGTCCGGGATGGTTCTTCGCCACCATGATGCCCACCCTCCTCTCCCGTTGTGATTCGTGTCGTAAGGTCGATTGCTTTCTGTGATCGTCTGCGTTAGCAAGCAGCTCCGCACGTGTGGGCGAGCGGAAGATCTTACATGCAGCCTGAAAACTCGGCGCCACCATGTGCCCACCCACCCTCATGCCAAAGAGCGATCACGAAGACGTAGCCTGGGAAATTTGTTCCGTGATCACAACCAACAGTTAGCAGTTGCACGAAAACAGCGGCGGATGATGATGATGATGTGGAGGGTGATTCCCGTCAGACAAGTCTTGGGAGAGGGATAACGGCGCAATAAGACCCAAGTCCCAAGAGCGCACTACGTGCCAATCATCATGGGAGGGATGGAAAGGAGGAGGGGTGGTACGCACAGAACGCTATCTAAAGCGGTCATGACGTGGAGTCCAGGGCTGAATGGCGTTCTCGCAGTGAGCCGCAAGCTTGGCCTGGGAACGTTCCTGTCACTCTTCTTAGTTAGCGGGCGTCCGAGTCTACTGCGTTGCTTGGATGAATTCACGACGGACGCGCCCCCCTCAGTCCTAGGTATGTTGTGATCATATAGCACCCGTGCGCACAACCCAAGAGCCACGGTTCCATCAGAAAGTAGCTGAACATGAGGACTCATCATTGGGGCAGGTGTTGAGAGAGGTGATGACTTACAAAGACAATTAGACTGAATCGATCCCTGGGACGGAGCCGGGACATGGCGGTGGCCGTTCCACAAGGCGACTTTTGGCATTCGAGAACGAGTAGTACTAGGGTGTTTGTTGCTTATCGAGTTAGTCTGTGTTCTGATCAAACGAGGAGCTTCGAGTGCTTGAGCACAATTTGAGAATCAGGAGCTTTTTTGTAATCATGTGGAACCCGTCTAAAGTCGCCAAGAACCATTGGAGAGAGTTAAAAGTCGTCGAAGAGAACAGGTCGTTGAGATCAAGTTGCTCTACGACGACGCATCATGGGGGAATGTAAAGACAAAATGACAAGACGTAGTGACTTACTGAGAAAGCTCCGCGACGTCAGTCCATAGTCCGAGGGCGTGGCTATTCGTACTGGCGTTCCTGCGACTCTTTTAGTTAGCCTGTGCTCCATGAGTGACTTGAAAAGCTAATTGACAATGCAAACCCCAGTCAGGCAGCTCATAAGAATCATATGGCCCGTCTTAAGAAACGTTACGAACGGGCCCATCAGAGGTAGTAAACAAGGTTCATCATGGGTATGGGAAGACAGCAATAAGAAAGGTAGCAACTTACCAAGAAGGCTGTCCGCTTCACCCGCTGTAGCGCGACCTTTTCATGACTGGCATTCGAAGAATTCCTGCGAGAAAAACAATTGGGAGTTAGCCTGTGTCCAAAGACATGATATCAGATTCCCAATGTGAAAGGATGTGTCTCAGGTGAGCTCTCTTTTCGATCAAGATAGGTTTCGTCACCTGAACCAGCCATAACCAAAGCCATGGCGGTTCCATAAGTCGTAATAACAAGTCTCTTGACTTTTCATCATCGACAAATAAACGGCGGCATCGCCAAACAAAAGCTCGACTTACCGAGGTGAAGCCACCACCAAAGGGCAGAGAACCGCTGACGGCGAATGAGCGGTGGACAAGGACTTCCAAGATCTTCTGTGCCAGTTGGCGGGCTCAAGGGAGAGGGGCGTCTCTCGCGCGGGATAAGCCTGTGGTGTAGTTAGCTAATGCCATGAAGAGGATGTGCGAGAAAGAAGCAAGGAGTCCGCAGTCAGGAGCTCTGTGTTGTCATTGGTTACGTCCGCCGCAGCGCTTAAACCATCGAAAAGTGGAGTGTTTCCCTGGCGAACCAAGGGGTCATCATGCGTGTTGAAGTCTTGTCGCAGGAAGATGCACTCACCATGTCAAGGATTGAACATAGCGTCAACGTCAGAGCGTTAGTGGGAGAGCGTGTCTGCGACGATGATTAGCTTGTGTTCTGACTTAGACGTGAGACAAGAACGCAATAGTTGGAAGCCTTCAGGAGCTCTGATGTCTCTTCATTGGTTTCAGCTCGCAGCGTCAACCATACGATGTAGGAACTGTTTGTTATTTTTTTCGTGTCATCATTAGGCAGGGGGGCTTTGACAGAAGAAAAGGGAAAAGAAAACATACTTT